ACACAAGGAGGGGCTGTCCGATGGAGGGATTCACGTAACTTGCGGAGGAAACTGTAACTCATCTTGCAGGAGACAAGAAGCCAACGCAAATGGGAGCTCTTAAACCCCTTTGAGTTAAAGATTATTTTGTGAAACCAGATAAAATTATGGTCTCTCTCTCTTTCCAAGGAAGAGGTCACAAATACTTAAAACTCTTCATTTTCTTCACTGTAATTTATTGTGAACCCTCTTAAAACCTGTCTATGGAACAACTAAAAATGCTGACTGTAAGGCTATTTCTGCTGAAATATCCCATTGTACACAGCCAATGAAGAAGTCCTCGTGTGAGCAATGATCCCAGGTCAGTTGAGGCACAACCAAACTAAAGCAGGTTGATTTTAAGAGCTTGGCTCCAAGTACAATACATAAGAAAAAACAATAGCAACATGTGGGAGCTGTGTGTGTGTGTGTGTGTGTGTGTGTGTGTGTGTGTGTGTGTGTGTGTGCTTGTCAGTCTATGGCTGAAAGAGAAGTAAGCTTGTTCATATCTTATGAGGAATGATAGCGGAAATATACAGAATGAATAATAATGGCAGGATAGAGGAGGATAAAACAAATTAAAGAGCAAGAGAAACATGAGACATTGAACCCCTATCACCAGCCCAGTTGATAGATTCCTCCTCTGTGAGTTGGAAAACAAATAGTGAAGATAATTATGGAGCTTGTCTGAGGGGGAGGATTGAAGTTCTGTATTCCAGATGAAATCACTTTTTTTTTCTGAGTGATACAGGAGAAATGTTATTTTTGGAAAGTCATTGAAAAAAATGGGAGAAAGACACCGGAGAAGGCTAACTTTAGAGTTGCAAACTATCACGCTGTACTCCCAGGACTAGAGAGTCTTAGCATCACTAGTGTTGCTTAGTTTCACGCAGGCACCATATGACGGATTAGTGTGGGGCTGGAGTCTTGCTGGCAGCTATGGAAGGAGAACAAGACAGGGAACTGAGGACGTGTGAATTCTAACTGAGGAAGGAAGAAAGACAATAGGAAAAAACAGAATACCTAACGAAGAAGAGTGAGAACAGGGACATACAACTAAAATCATTCTAGAAAAGAAGTGTTAACGGGAACGGCGTTATGAGAAAGCATAAAGATGGAAGTCTTTCCAAGGAACATGGACTCAGGCATTTCTACCACCAAGTGACTGTGAGAATCCTGTCATTGGTCTAGGGGTGATGAAGCAGAGAAGTGATCTCCAGGTCCAAGGAAGTCAAGGGACCTTGAGATTCCCCCATGTGCACCCACATGAACACTTGAACACTCCAGATACTAGGGACACTAGGTTTAAGAAGAAAAGAGATCCCAGCAAAGTCTTTATCACCAGAGAGCAGAAGGGTTTATCCATACGATCCTCAGTGACCCGAGGTTGAGGGACCAGGAAGCTTTCTTGGGAGAGGAGTTATGTAGTAATAATACTTTGCCCTTCATGTTCATGCCACGCACATGCTCTACCATTGAACTCCACCTCACTCCCGAGCAGAAGACCTTCAGCGGGACAAGGATGAGTGGAGGTGTCCTGCATAAGGGTTCAACATATCAAGAAGTTTGTTTAATATGATCGGGTAGTTTCAGAAAGCGAATAGTAAAGGCTTGCAAGGGTCTTGCGGCAAAAGGTAAAATACAAACACTTTAGCTTTTTAGAGGCTGTATTTCCCGGACTTGCCCACACAACCCTTCTTTGTGCAGCAGCTCCTAACCTCTGACTACAGTGATGCTGTGTGGCTTACAGCGTGGGAAACATTGGCAGAGCAGTCAAGCATGGCACTGCCCCGGGGGAAAGGTGCCAAGTCACGGCGAACAACTTCTCAGGCATCTGGAGGGCTGTGCTAGAAAAAGGATGAACCAGCTTCAAGGACACCCAATTTGCTGGGACTTATTCATTCATGGCTATTTGTCCGTTCAACTCAGTTAGAATTTCCTTTGATCCTTGCAACATGTGGCCCATCACCAATCAAATTAATAAATACTAAGTAAACATTTGCCTCTACTGATTCATCAGATGAGTAAAAACACAGAAACAAAAATAACAATAAAAAGGCTTTTATTTATTTTATTTTATTTTATTTTATTTTTGTTTTTCGGTTTCTCAGACAGATTTTTTACCAGGCTAGTATTGAACTGGGGATCCTCTGCCTTCATATCCTGTGTGCTGGGATTGCAGGTTTACAGACATGTGCTCGCACACCAGCTAGGCACAGATTTTATACCTTAATTCTTCTCATCTTTGTTGGGAATTTATTGTCTGTTTACATTTTAACCTACTGTTAATTACACAAGTAGGTTGAAACATTTGTGAAATATTTTTAAAAGTGAATTTTTAATTTTGTATTTTTGTGTATATGTGTTTGTATGTACATATATGTGGGGTTGTTTTCAGTGGCCAGAAGTGGACATAGAATTCCCTGGATCTGTAGTTATAAGCATTTGTTAGTCACCCAATGTATGTTCTTAGAATCCAAACCTGGTCCTCTGCAAGAGCAGTAACCACTCTTAACCACTGAGGTAGCTCCCTAGCCCTTTGTGAATTTTTAATAACAAATATTATTTACATCTTTAAATACGCAATGTGCCTTTTTACTTCATCTTTAATAATTTTGATAGAATGGTCATGGAAAAGAAAGCTCAAACACCAATATTTGATATTATGAGTTACCAAAAATATTTTTCCTAATTTGTTAGTATGAATTGAAAAGAGGGAAAGTAGTGAGGAAGATTTGAGGAAAAGTTAGCTCAATAATTATTTTAAAGCATTAAGTTTTAAGTTTTTTTAGGTAAAACTTATTGAGGTATAAAATGCCTACACAGCTGACCAAAACGTGTTGCAAGGAAAATTCTCTTTGATAAGTCTTTAAATTGTGTGTGTGTGTGTGTGTGTGTGTGTGTGTGTGTGTGTGTGTGTGTGTCTGACTATTTATTTATTTGTGGGTATGGGTTTTCACATGCCATGGTACTCATGTGGAGGTCAGAGGACAAGTGACCAGAATAAATTCTCTCCTTTTACTGTGTAGGTCTTAGGATCAACTCTCGGTGTTCAGTCTTGGCAACAACTACCTTTTTCCCTGACTACCATTCTTGTTAGCTGAAACAGTATAACGAACATGATTTTATATATAGAAGGCTAATATGCAGTACATGTTATGACATATATGTAATATATATGCAATAATGTAATATGTGGCATATACAGAAATGCCCAGAAATCAATATTATAAAAAGATGAGCATAATTTACACATTTATAATTTTATAAATGATAAAGAGAACAAGTTATTGTGTGATTCCACCATGGTATAAAAAGCACAGGTATTACTGAGAATTTTAACCCTGGAGCCCAGTATAGCTATGAATTATACATTCATTTTTTAACAGAACTTAATGCTACAAGCCATGCATTTATTAGTATTTCCCTAGGAAAGCATCTTCTCTGTGTAGAGTAAATGTGTAGACATTGGTAGAAACTTCTGGTCTCAGGGTTGTTACATAGTCTCCTTCAACATTTACAGGACTGTACTTATTCAGGGGAGAATTCTGAGGCATGTTGCTGATACCCACATTGTTCTGAGAATGCAGTTTCCGAGTGTTCCATAAACACAGTGGAATTTGATATTGCCAGGTATCAGTGCTCTGTGTAGACATGAGGATTCATCAGCTGAGAGATACACCTCTAAAGGACCTCACTGTCTTCCTCCATGGAGGGTTCCCTAGTGCATTTGCAAATCCTGGGGCTATTAGATCCTCCTTCCCACCCCTGACAAATGTGACCCCTGGTTTTTCTATTCACACTGGTTGATTTGGAGAAGTGTGTGTGTGTGTGTGTGTGTGTGTGTGTGTGTAAAACCTCTGTGCAATGAATCATAAAAATTGTCTTATATTGCGACCCCTGTGAAGGAGACCACCTCCTATTTATTCCCCCAGGGTACTCTTGAACAGGGAGAAATGAGGAATTTGTACATAGAAGGATAGAGAGACAGACAGAAAACACAGGATAGCTTGGGAGGGCCTGGTCCAATCCCACCGGCCCCTTCTGTTCCTACTAAAGGGCTTTTTAAAGGAATACCAAGAGGAGGAGCAAAAGACCTCCTCCTAGCACAGCCAAGTGCAGAACATTCCAGACACCTGGTAATCACACATATGGTCAAGCCACCCCCTAATGCAGCCCTGCTGTGTAAAGCAAGCTCAGATCTCACTAGAAAACCTTTGTGGGCTCCCATACCCCTGGTCTTTCTATTCACACTGGTTAATTTGGAGGAGTGTGTGTGTGTGTGTGTGTGTGTGTGTGTGTGTGTGTGTGTGTGTGAAACCTCTGTGCAATCATAAAAACTGTCTTATAAGTCCAGGAACCTGAAGCCAGCTGAACACAAGGCATCAGACTTACTTTCCTTCTATTTAACCCGATTTTGTGGTTTAGTAAAAATATTCACTATAAATATTTCTCTACTAGGTTAAGATGTAAAGGAGTTTGGCTCTAGACCCTAGAGTCTACCACAGTGGTTCTCCACCTTCCTAATTGTGTCACCTTTTAATATAGTTTTTTTTTTGTGTGTGTGTGTGTGTTGTGGTGACCCCCAAAGATAAAATTATTCCATTGCTACTTCATAACTGTAATTTTACTATCATTTTTAATCACAATGTAAATATCTGATGCAGGATATCTGATATGTGACCCCTGTGAAAGGGTTTGTGACCCACATGTTGAGAACCACTGGTCTAGTGTAACGATTATACACACACACACACACACACACACACACACACACATATATATATATATACATATATATGAGCAGATAGAAGATCTTTCATTAAAGGCTAGAAAAAGCAATGACCTAGGATTAAGATGGATTTAGTAAATGTTTATGCTTACTTTAAGGAATCATGTTTGATTTCAGAAGTCTGGTATATACTTCTTAGTTCACCATTTTGCTGTGTTACAATCTCCAATGATGATTTTTAATCATTTAGGCTTCAAGGAGACAATCTGATGGAAAGGATAGAAGACACACTACAGCCATTTCATTCTCCAGAGGAGATAATCCCAGATTCATTGGGTAAGTTTTAAGTTTAAGCATAATTATTGAAGTTTTGATAACTCTTACAGATTTGCAAAAGTACCTCCCCCGAATCAAATGCCTGCAGCCTGGAGTCACATGCACAGCCGGCCTGTCTGGGCTGCGAAGGGCAAATGAGAAAAGGAATCAGGATGTGTGGATTCTGAAGAGGCAGCTATATGCTGGCTACTGTCAAAACCATGCCCCTAATTCTAACTTATTCCTGTTGGCTCTGTAGAAAGTGGAAGGACATTATGAGTTCCTTTCTCCCCAATCTCATACCATTGATCCAGTTAGTCTTTTGGAGGAAAACAGCAACATTTTATTGGAGATATCACACACACTCTCAGCCATGTGTTAAATTGGTGTTGACACTGTAAATATTGCTTGTTTCTTAAGACAGACTTCATTTTTTCCTGACGAAGTCTCATCTGTACCTTCCTCCTCCTTCTCCATCTAGTGAAACAGCTTCCTTTCTTCTCATTGTACCGTGTCCTAGCTTGCTTTTCTGTTTGATACAAATACCATGGCCAAAAGCAATGTGGGGAGAAGATCATTTATTTCAGTTTATAGGTTACAGTCTATGGTAGGGAAGCCAGGCCAGGAGCTCAAGGCATGAACCTGGAGGCAAGAACTGAAGCAGAGACCAGGGAGGAAGGAATGCTGCTTAATTGCTCTTCATGGTTTGCACAGCTACATTTCTTGTACAGCCCAGACCCACCTGCCTCATCATGGTATCATCCACAGTAGGCTGGGCCCTCCTATATCAATTATTAATCAAGAAACTGTTCCACAGACATGCACAAAGGCCAATCTAATGGAGGCGATTCCTCATTTGAGAGTCCCTCTTTCTAGGTACCCTGGTTTGGTATATGCTGCTGTCATAACTCATTGACCAAAACTACCTTGTGCGAGTGTGTGGTATTTGAGCTTACACTTCCAAGCCACAGTCTATCATCCAGAGAAGCAGAGACCATGGAAGAACACTTCTTACTGGCTTACTTCCCATAGTTTGCTCAGCTTGCCCAGGACCATATGCCCAGGGGTAGCACCCCCAGAGATGGGCTGGGCCCTCCCACAGCAATCTCTAACCAAGAAAATGCTCTACAGACTAATCGGATCATAACAATTGCTCATTAAGATTCCCTTTTCCTAGGTGACTCCAGTTTACATCAAGTTGACCAAAGCTAACCAGTTATGTCTAGGTTTTGTGTCGTTGACAAAATCTGTGGCACCCGGCACCACAGATGTTTACTTTATTATCTTTCAAAATTAATAGTATTTATTCCATACCCACTTCTATAGGATGCAATAAAAACTTCATTACTTAACATAGGAAGTTAAAGTTAGAACCCTTCAAAATGCTTGCAGAACAGGTGGTACATGTAATGCTCCTCCAGGAGCATCTCAGATGCATTACTACCATCTTAACTGCCTGTATTCTAGCAGGACACAGTGGAATCAGGATCACTAGACAAATCATAGTAGAAAATATTTTCCATATGCCTGAATGGACAACATCTTAAATGAGACACAAAAGCCCATGACCATTATAGATACAAATGAAATAATAATTTACTATACATTCCAAAAGCTAGAGTGGGTGTTTCGAGTGATTATTACCACAAACAAACTAAATAATGAATGTTTATAAAGATAAACATTTTTAATTTCATACTAGTATTTCACAAATGCTTACATGTATTAAAATGAAATATTCTGAGGTACCCCAATAATCTGTAGGGTTTTCATGTTATAATTTATCATTTTAATTAATTTAACTTGGATTAAAATTGAGATTAAAAGATGGCGAAGACTTCAACTATAGAAAATTAAGAACTATGGAGCTGAGGTGATTGCTTAGCAGGGAAAGTGCTTGCTGCACTTATATGAGAGGTGAGTTCACATCCTTGCCATCCGCGTAAACATACTGGGCAGGGTAGCACACATGTGCAAACCCACTGGTAAAATACCTGTGCTGGTAGAGTAGAGACAGAAGTATCCTGGGAATTCACTGGCCTGCCAGTCCAGCTAATCAGTGAGCTCCAGAGTCAGTGAGAGACCCTGTCTTAAATAAAAATCTGATGGGAAATGATAGAAGATGACACTAGACTCTGGGCTTTATCAATATCCACAGAGTGCCTATACCTGCGTGCATACTTGACACATAGCAACACGCATACCATATATACACAGTTTTTAACAATAAAATTAAGAACTGTTTATCCAAAAATGCCAAGGAAAAACACAAAATGATAAAATGTATCTGCAGTACAGTTTTCATTGCCCAAAGATGAGTATTCAAATATAAAAATCACCTATAATTTAATAAGGTCAACAAATCCATTGAAAAACAATCAACAACTTAAATAGACATGCCATAGAAGAGGAAGTTCAAATGTCATGTATATGGAATATGCCCCATTACCTTAGAAACCAGGAAAAATCAAATGGAGACTATTATGAAGTGTTGTTTTATACCCAGTTTTTGGCAAAAAGTGCTAGTGAGGACAAAGATTTACTCCCTATTAGGGTGTCTAAACCATTTGAGAAAAGTTTTCTATTACCTTAAAATCTTGAGCATTTATATGATAGAAAACCCAGGAACTGTGTATCTAGATGAATATCTTAGAGAATCCAGCTTTATGCACCAGGAATGTGAACAAGCCTTGTTAGGATGTTCATGGACGATGAAACCAATGAGCTGTGGAATTGTTACACTGTAGGGACTCAAATGCATTTCAACTGCACACACAGGATGGATAAAGTCAGCGACATGCTGGTAAATGTTTAGCAAAAAATGGTTTGCAGAACTGATGATTTCCCTGATGTAATAGAGCTCAGCCCCTGTACTGCTTCCAAACAAGCAACTAGAAACAGCAGTGAGACTCCAAAGAGCAGTTATCTTCGGGATATGAGGCAGCTGACAGCTGTGATCAGGAAGGAACCCACAAGCAGATGAAGGCTATTGGGAATGCTCTGATTCCTGAGGTGGATTATAAGCTTGGGATGTTTAATTATTATACTTTATAAGTTAAATTTACCATATATTTTATCCATAGAACACATTTTATATGCTTTATTTGAATTTTTTTTTTTTTTTTTTTGGTTTTTTTAAGACACAGTTTCTCTTGGGTAGCTTTGGCGCCTTTCCTGGAACTCACTCTGTAGCTCAGGTTGGCCTTGAACTCACAGAGATCTGCTTGCCTCTGCCTCTGTACTGCTGGGATTAAAGGCATACACCACCACCGCCAGGCTTTTAATTAAAATTTTTATGTACATATAATTTCATATGTTGACTATAATCTAATACTATTTAAAAATAAAATGAGACAGGAATATAAACCTATACCAGTGGTTACTTACAAAGAAATCATGATAGTTTACATGTGTTCAGATCTATTATAGAACTAAAGTATGTATATTTTCAAGATAGCTCTTAAACCCCAGCAAGGAAAACAGGGTCCCTGGTGACTAGCAACATGGAGGCCCATGCTGGCCATTCATCAACATTCATTATCTTGTGGATTCAGCCTGACCATCTATCTCCTCTTGTGTATGTTACAAGGCTTCCTATGCACAGGCCATTCTTTCCTCAGTGGCAGCAGCTTCCTTTTGCTGCCTGTAGTCTCCATACTATGGCCCTAAGGTCATATTAAGTGTCTCTGATGTCTAGTTCACACCAATGTTTCCTTTAAAAAAAAAACTCCTAATTGTTTTTAATCAGTATTTGTTCTCACTTCAAATGATTTCACGCTTCTTAAAGCTTTCATGCTCAAAATAAAAGTAACACAACAGGGATACTGTTTAACAACTTGGCCGTTAACTAGACAGGTTCTCTTTAGAAATTGCATATATATATATATATATATATATATATATATATATATATATATATAGAGAGAGAGAGAGAGAGAGAGAGAGAGATTTACTGTAGAGACTTAAATATCCTGGGAAATTAAATAATACATCTAGTAATATGTTTTTGATTATACTTACATCCGCTGGAAAAATGCATTCATTAAGTCTAAGTTCCTTTCTTGAAATATTTATAACCTGCTTTTTCCACACTCAAATATTAGAATACCTAATTAGGAAATTGCAAAATAGGAGTTTCTACTTCAGTACATTCCTTTCCCCTGAAGTCAGTCAAATCATGGGACCCCAAAGTTGAGTATCATTAGCATCATCCCAAAATCTCTGATGTGACTTACATGTCAACTGTGCATCTGTATTGAAATTGACTCAAAATACATGCTGCTATAAGTAGGCCTAATTCTGTGTAGAGAAGTTCTTGTAACACAAGCAGCCATGGTTAAAAAAAAAATGACAGGAGGAAGCTGATAAAAGCTAAACATTGTGATAAGCATTCAAATTTTCAGATTAAAATTGTAATCCAAGAGTTCAAAGACAGCTAATTTTAAAAAATAAAATCACTTTATTATTTCATACTTCTGTGCTGGTTCACTAGAGACTCAATTTACACTACCTTTTATGAGTTTAAAAAATTGAACAACTATAGGATGTATCTTGAAAACATGTTTGTGCATAAGGTAAATTTCTCTGCAGTAGAAAGAAAGAACATAATTGTTTACACATCTGCACATCCTAGTTAGTGCTACCAAAGAAGTGTACTTCAAACACATTAACAAGTTTGTCCCTCCAAGCACGAGACATCAAATTCTTGTTTTTATGATATCTGTTTGCTCAACTTAGCTCATTAGATTGCTATTCATCACAATTTTAGTCTCTTTGTCTGGGTCCATTTGCCTTTGTCAATTTCAGTAAGGTAAGACACCAAAATTCTCACCTGCTCTGGGAAATCCATCACAGGAGTACTCTGCTAGGCTCTAGGACTATCATCATCTCATAGAATTCAGCAGATATGACAACCAAAACCAAAGAATGCTCAAAACAGGCATTTAGCAGAACATAGCCTAAAACGTTGCCAGTATTGCTACCTCATAAATGTTCATCTTTTGTTAAAACACTAATTTTAT